CCGACGTAACAATAAGTGGTTAGAAGAGATTTTTTTAAAAAAAACAAACAACACCTTAGTCACACGGAAAAAAAAAGAAGTAAAAACATGTTTTGAAAAAAAAAAAAAAACCCAACCCGGGTCAAAGCCCCGGCTTTTTTAGTAGTTTTATTTTTGCCCTAATTTTTTTGATGTTACGTTTGGCTTGTCGCTGCTGATTAATGGAATTGAGCCCTAGGTTTTTATTATCATCGTCAAAAGATTCCTAGGGTTTTGCCCCATTGTTCTATTTTCTCCTGTGTTTGCTTCGGCTTCGTCATCGGATAATTTGGCGATCTTCATCTTCTTCCAATCCGCCGGTTGACAAATCTAAGAACCGATCATGGGGCATGGTATGTTCGGATTTAATTTAGAAAAAAAAACCCTAGTTTACGATCAACATATAAGGATCGCAATCAAAACACAAAAGCTTGTGTGCACGAATGCGAATAATTAATCTAACTAATCTAACTCTTTATGTGTTTGCTTACAGGTGATAAAAGTGGGAGACCTAGCAAGAAGCATAAGTCATCAACCAAGGTTGTTTGCTAAAAGAATTTGTAATTTGTTATTATCACCATTTTGATTTTATTATTTTGGGTAGGAGAATTGTTTCATTGTGGTTGATGAACTGTCGGTTGAACCTAGGTTGCTCATATGAAAGAAAAATCTGAATTATGCTTCATCATCTAGATTCTAGGGTCAGACAATTGGTTCAATGAAGTTGACGAACAGTTAATCCTACAAAGAAGTTAAATTGCTGTTAATCATTGTCACCGTTTGATTATCCTATTTTCAATTGGTATATTGGAAGCGTCCTACTGTTTCACTATGTTTGATCATTGATGAATTGATAACTGAACTAGGGTGTCTCATATCAATGAACATTTAGATTATACTTCAAGCTTCACATGAGAAAACAAAGATGTATTATGATTGGGTAATCCTAGTCAGCTAATGTATGTGTGTTATATAACACATGACAGGAGGGCTATAAAGCTGCAGCTTTTGAAGAGGAGGATGCATATTATGTTGAAGAATTTGGTGACAATGATCACGATGCTATTTTTATCTAGTTATTAGTAATTAATAGTGATTCAATATCTTCTATATGTAAATCAATGTTTTGTTTGTTTGTTTGTTTGTTTGTTTGTATAAGGTGATGGAGAAGGAAATAAGAGAGATTTTACCAAATTGGAACTTAAAGCAGATCATGTGAATCGGCCATTATGGGCTTGTGCAGATGGCCGGATCTTTCTAGAAACCTTCTCTCCATTGTATAAACAAGCTTATGATTTTCTAATTGCAATTGCAGAACCTGTCTGCAGGTAATATATGTATGTATATCAACTAACAGTTCATATATAAAATCTGAGATGAATCTTTCATGTTTGGGGTGTTTGTGCTTATATATAGGCCAGATTCGATGCATGAGTACAACCTGACTCCACACTCACTGTATGCGGCTGTGTCAGTGGGTCTAGAAACTGAAACCATAATAGCTGTTTTGAACAAGCTTTCAAAGACGAAGCTCCCTAAAGAGATGATCGATTTCATTCATGCTTCAACATCCAATTATGGAAAAGTAAAGCTTGTACTGAAAAAGAATCGGTACCTAGTTGAATCTCCTTTCCCAGAGGCAAGACTGCTTATTCTTTTCTTAATCTTTAAACAACAACAGATTGTATATTCAAATATTGAATTATTCATTCTGTTATCTGGTTGGTGTTTGCAGGTATTGAAGAGATTATTGAGTGATGAAGTCATATCTCGAGCGAGGGTTTCATACGAGGTTGTAGCTGTTTTTATTTATTTGTTTTTTTTTCTATGTTGTTTTATATGAGGGATTGATCTTGATTCTGTATATTCTCACATTCAGGGTGACGATGGGTTTGCTGTTAGTAGATCAGCAGGTGAAGTTGAAGGTAGACATGAGGAACTGCTAACAGAAGCACAGTTGGCAGCTGCAGCTGAAGAAAAAGAAGCCCATTCATTTGAAATTGACCCGACCCAGGTATAGTATATGATAGGTAATGAAGTTCATCTAATTTTAGATAGATCATTAAAAAAGAAAAAGGTTGAAGAGTGGTTTTTAGAATTACTGCATCATTGATTGAAGAAAATTAATTACTTGACAGGTTGAAAATGTAAAGCAGAGGTGTTTGCCAAATGCTTTAAACTATCCCATGTTGGAGGAGTATGATTTTCGCAATGATACTGTGAGTTCTCTCTCATACTTGCCTTGGTTCATTTAGCAATGAGATTTGTAGGGGTAGGGGTAGGGGTAGGGGTTGTTTCTTTTCTCTAGACGTAATAAAAGTTCTTTTTTACCCTTACATTACAACAAACAGTTTTCACAATACAATACTCATCAAGTAAAAAAGAAACAACCAACCAACCCCATAGTCAATCTTTTCTACAAAATTGATAATTACTCATAATAAGCAAATTGCGCAGATAAATCCGGATGTTGAGATGGAAT